AAATATATAAAAATATATATATATATATATATATATATATATATATATATATATATATATATATATATATATATATATGTAGAAGAGTTAAGAGAATGTCGCAGGGATGAAAGTGAGAGATAGAGTTTAACAGAGACGAAAATAAATACAAATATACACCTTTTATATATATATATGTAGCAAGTCATAATGTACATTTATATTATACTCTTTAAATCGTCATCTGCCATTTATTGCCTCGACGAAAATTAATCTAATTCAAAAATCTTCATCGTGAAATATCTCCTGGAGAACGTACATATAAATAATCACACACGTATAAATTTACACTCTATTCTACCGCGATCAGAGTTCCAAACGATTACACCTGAGAGTCTTTGTCGTTTCTTTGAATCTTTCATCACCGCGACAGCAAGCAACAGTTTCACCCGCCAAATGAAAACTCGCCATGACAATTTACATTAATCCCCGACGGCGAGCAGATCCACGTTCGCTTTGTGTCAATTAACATAAGGCATACTTCATGCGAACACTGGGTGTTCGACTGGATGGGCCGAAGGGGGGGCTGGCTTATTTCTGTTAATTAAGGACCACCGCAGCCACTTCTAATTTATACACGGTCTCTCGCTCTCGAGTCGTCTACCGAACGAGCCGATTTAGTAACAGGAGACAAAGAGATGACGTGGGTGGTTTCGGAAGCAGCTAGCTTCGTGCATATCTGCACACGCGTGCGCGCGAACGAGAGAGTTTCAAATGTGAAGGAACGATGCGGTTATCTCTTCTCCCATACAAGAAGTCCACACACGTTCGTTCCGCTGATAAAACGGTGATAAGCACGAAATAATACGAAAGAGGACGATAGACGGCTAGCTACTGTTACCATTTCAGGCAACTGCTATCGTTTGTTTACCATTGAAATGGTTATCCACGAGACGAGACTGTGCATTAAAATTGTCGTATGAACGAAAGACTGAATTTCAGCCAAGTATTTTTCTTTTTCCTTTCTTTCTACAGCTACGACGGAGTGTAATTCTCTATTATATAGAGAATTACAGAATATTTTGTCAATTATCATTCTGTAGATTTAGAGGTTCCCTTGGAAGATTGTGAAGCATTTGAATCAAGATTGCAGCCAACCAATTACAATGTTTAATGTAAAAAAAGTTAGTACGTCAACGTATAATATACATATAATTTGTATAATTTATAGTTTTGAAAGCAGTCTCCATTACATAGAATATTATATGTTTCGTTAGTTGTCATTCTGCAGATTTAGAAGTCCTCCGGTTGTGAAGTATTCGAATCAAGATTGTTGTGGAATCCACTACTTGCTACGTTTAATGTAAAAAGGTTAGTACGTATAACATGTATAATTTTGTATAATTTATAGTTTCGAAAGCAGTCTCTATTACAGAATATTATATATATATATTTCGTTAATTGTCATTCTGCAGATTTAGAAACCCACCAACTGCTAAGTATCTGAATCAAAATATGCTATGTTTAATGTAAAAAATTTAGCATGTCAACGTACAATCTATAATTTAAAAAACTTATCTGCAGGAAGTGATAGTATTAAACGTAGACAGTTTATAGTTTTATTATATTGTTGTGTACGTGCAATGTATCATAAGCATCTAACGTTAATAATCACTGAAACACGCGGAAAATTGAAGGTTGGAAATCAGACACTAAATTGCAATTAAATTTTTGATATTCCCAAAGCGTATCTTCGTTACCGAATTATAAATTAACCGCTACATATTATAAATTATATTATAAATTAAAATATTCTTCTCTGCGTGAAACATACTTCCCGACCAAATGTTCATTCAATTACTCTCTAATGTGAATAGTATACATTAAATTAAATAATTCGAATGATTAAGAAAAAAAGAAATATAATGATAACAAGAAGATAAAAATTCACCAAGTGGATAGAAACTAGTTGTTTGAACAAGAGAACGAACGAGGAAATTAGGAGTTTTCAACGGAGTGTTCTGTCCGCTGTGATTGGACGAGCTTTCCACGCAGCGTTTCGCTAACTTAGGCGCGTCCGGAAGTAACGGAGCGGAGCCATTAGTTCAATGTACCTGTGCTTCATTATCAATGTCGAATTGTACGGTAACCTTGTGCCATTGGAGCGTACGGGTCAACGCACGTTTCGAGAGGATGCGCGCATTTACTACGGAAAGTGGCGTTGTTCTAACCTTTGAAAGCTCTTTCGACAAGGTTTCAACTTCCGCTTTCAAGTTTGATTTTGCACAAGCGACAGCAGCGAAACTTCTGTCGTATTAAATGTTATTTCTATATTATTTTGTCAAAATCTAACTGCGCAGTGACGTTGTCCCATACATTCGGACCTAATAAAAGAAATCGCAATCAACATCCGCGTCAAATTTTTCTGCCCCTTCAGCGAACTTTGAGAAACCACTCTGCGCAAGGAGCCCAATATTTCAATAAAATCAACTGAGCTGATCGATAAAAAGTCACTCTCCCTTTCAAACAGTATTACAATATTCCAGTATTACAATATTATTTATACAATATTCCAGTATTACAATATTATTTATACAATATTCCAGCGTTACAAGTTTAACCAACACACAATCGCTATAGTGAAATAATTGCGTTCCCTTCTGTAGAAATACATTCCCTGAGACAAAGTGATCGCTATTCAATGCGAGTGACCTGATTGATATTTTTTTTCTGGAGTAATCTTCTCTTACCACCGTGCAATATAGAAGAGAGAGAGAGGGAGAGGGAGAGAGAGAGAGAGAGAAAAGAAAGGAACGGGATATCGAAAACAAAGAAACGATCGCCAGATCGGGGCGAGGAAGATAGTTCTGCGACGATGAACGAAGACATTACTCGATGACTGCACCCGAAGAAAGTCATCGGGAGTCCCCATTAATGACCTCCAATCGATGTTCCCGCTCCGGCGAACCTTTGTGAATCGCTTTCACGAGCCATTGTTCCTCGGGCGAGCCCGTGATTATGTTCGTTAATTAAAAAAGAAAAAAAAGAAGAAAATGAACGAGAGAGAGAGAGAGAAGACAGAAAAAGGAACATTTTAGTGTATGTCCCAGCTCTCCTAACTGTACCGTCTTAATTGTCGAAGAAATAACGAGCCGCGTTTGTTTTCTGCGAAGCATCGAAGCGACGCGAACCAATTCAAACATACATACACACACACACACACACAGACATACACGCATATAGATACATGTTTTATGTAAGCCACAAGGCTACGCGCGTTGACCTTTCTTCAGGATGGCATTATGCAACTTTCGCGTCGCGTGAGACACTAATTTGCATTTTTCCATTATTACGTCGATACCACCAGCCGCGGCTATTAACGATCGCGTTACACACGATCCTTAACAGGATGTCCCTCTTTCTCTTCGTCTTTTGTCTTCTGAGTATTCGCCTATTTCGCCAATATATATTTTTATTTATATTTTCCCACTGTTAAGTAACGTTTGCAGCCTTTCATCTTTCGAAGTATGTCGATGCTCTGTCTGTTCTTCTCAAGGCTGTAAGACAGTAACGATCAATTTTCTCAGTGTTTTCAATTTCGAGAACCTGATCGATAGACGAATCGGTAGATATATGAAGAACTGGAACTAAGCGTTCCACAAAAAAAAAAAAAAAAAAAAAAAAAAAAATTCAGCCACAGAAAAAGTCCACGATTATACACAGATTTAGAAACTTTTTCAGCTACTTTTCACGGGAGAAAAAACAACTTTCTTACATGGTTTTCGTCCGCCACCGTACCCAATAATCTCTTTGGCTCGCGAAACCGCCTAGGTGCCGCAAGTAGACCATAAACGAATTCAATCTCTCGTTCAGCGAAGGAACCTTTCGAACGGCGAAAAGTGCAGAGGAGAAAGAAAGGCAGGAGAAGAGAAAGGGAGATAAAAAGAAGGGGTAAAGAAGATAAAACCGTGGCTGGCGCTACCTTCGAGCCCTATCATTAGCCCCGAAGTGAAGGGCCCGAACCTTAATCTTCGATGGCTCTCGCGTTTTTTCCATTTCTCTCGGGACACCTGGCAGCACGCGCAACGCGCAACAGCAGAGAGCAGGTGATCAGATTTGCCCCGCTGTCCAGTATACAAGGTGCGCTCAGAAAACACTTTCCAGATTTCTCTTACGATCGTAGATACATCGCGAGAGGAACCCCGGGCTTCACGTCTCTCTCTTTTGTTGCACCTAAAGTACGGTCCCTAAAGAATTCTCTGTGAAACGAATGTTATAGTTATATCGAATTCTCGAGTTGTCGTATCGGTATATGGAGATACGATCGATATTCATTCACTTGTTCAGCTCGATCGGATCGTTATTTATTATATATAGTTTTACACTTTAGCAAATATGTCACGATGCTCTACCTAATAACATTCGTTATTTTCATTAATCTTAAGAGAAAAACCCAGTTCTTCAACCCAGAGAAGAAGCATACTTCACGAGAAGAACGTGAACTTGATATTTCACGTGAAGAAAGAAACATGGATCCTCCTCCTTCTCCTCCTTCTCGTTAATCCGAGCGCAATCTCGGATCGTATGTTACGCGCGGTGCGTATTCTTCTCGAGTAAACGAGCGTGGCTTGGCGAACAAACGCGCGATAATAAATTTATCAAACAGCTCGGTGATTTAAATCGTGGAATTTTTTTCGACACACCATGTATGGCGTTCACGGATCGAGAGCGCACCGGTTCCACCAGCTTTCGCACACACAGGCACGCGGCTCGCACACAGAGGCAGACAAACAGACAGAACTTAAGGTTCCCAAGAAGAGAAGCTAAGGTACCCGGAGAAAGAGAGCCTCAGCCTCGGTGGATATCCGAACACCATAGAGAGCAAGAATCCCTTCGAGACACGTGCAGAGGATAGCAGATGTATCTTAACACCTGCCAACTCGCACAGGTACAAAAACTAGAGGTTTAGGGGCTGCTGCAGCTGCCTCTCCGCGTTGCTCTCGCATAGAAAAACGATTTTTCTTTTTTTTCCCCCTGAGAAGAAAGCTCCTCCTCGCCATTACTTATGTTTTTCGAACCGTGGCTGTCCCCGTAGAAAGAAATTCATCGCACTATTTTTTCACTTTTCAAGATAAGTGCAGTGAAATATTTAACTCTCGATTTTTTTCTTCTTTTTTTTAGACCTACTTTTTAACCTTAAATGAAGATTACATTTTCGGAGAACTATTAACCCTCGCGTAGCCGACACCGGGTCACCGTTGACCCCGAACTTGAGCGTAGCGAAGAAGCAAAATATTTCAGACAGACATTTCTGGAAATTTTGGCTAAAGCATCATATAAAAATAATATGAACATTATTATATTATATTATAATATTATATTGTATTATATTATTATATTAAAATAATATAACATTATTATATATAGGTAACATTCTGTATTAAAAAGTTAGGTGCAAAGCAAGCATAGTAAAAATTCAGCTATAGGTCAAAAGTGACTTGGTGGCCTCGGCTCGCCGCGTCGCTCATTTAAATCGGCTATCCGAGGATTAAAACACAGACAGCGTTTAAATTTAAAATTTTGTGATTTTAACACTCGATATTCGATAAACTTTCCAAATTTGTCCAATAAAGCAAGTACACATATAACAGAGAGTAAAATATTTCGATTTCAGAGAGTTCGTCGAACTTTTGTACACTCCCAAAGAGACGACCGAGTAATAAAATAAGAATTTATACGGGCAGCAACGAGATTCTCCGTTGGTATTTCAGGTTACATGGTTCACGATGATTAAATCTTCTACGAAACTAATGCATTTTAACGACAGATCGATGCGACGATTCGATATTAAGATGGGAGATAAAGATTATCAAGCGGTCGGGTTTAAATGTTCAGGTCGTTGGAAGCGTACCTTCCACGAAATTAAGAGAGTCTACTTTCCACCCAACCATCAAGTCGGTAAACCGTAGAAGAGGGACTTTAACGACCCGGGTGCATCGTGAGTATATGAAAAAAAAAAAAAAAAAAAAGAAAGCAATTTGCATAGGCCGCTCACGAGGCACAGTCCTCGCGAGTTTGTAAAATGAACCTCGATCGCGATGATCCTTTTTTTCGCAAGTTAATTCTTTTCCATCATCAATGCGACATTATACGAATAACTATTCCACAGAGGACCGTGTAAATTCAGTAAATATATACAGGGTGGGTCACCACATATTGCCATCTAGATTTACGTCATTATTACGTACGCGTAGAGAAAAAATGTTTCAGATGAAGTTGAATGGTTTCGAGAGGGGGACATTTTGATGATACTAGTTTTCTTGTAGGTAGACATATGAAGGTCATTAACGTATTTTTAAACGGAATCATATATATTTTATTGCATCAGTTGATATTCTTTACAAAAAAGTATTAACCTTTAATTAAATAATATTAATTAAATAAAAAATTTATTGAACTTTTAATTAAATAATATTAATTAAATAACCTTTAATTAAATAAAAAATTTATTGAACTTTAATATTAAAAGTATTTATATCAAAAAATGATTAGTTTAGGAGATATTTTAATTTTAATCATTTATATCACGACATTTTCTAAACTAATGATTTTTTAACATAAATAGGATCACAAATTTTTGTAAAGAATATCAAGGTGCATCAACTGATGGAATAAAAAATATATGATTCCATTTAAAAAAAACTTTAATGACCTTCATAAGTCCTCCACACGTCCATCTACAAGAAAACTAAGTATCATCAAAATGTGCCTCTCTCGAAACCATTTAACTTCATCTGAAACATTTTTCGCTACGCGTAGTAATAATGACGTAAATCTAGATGGCAATATGTGATGACCCACCCTGTATATATATATATGTATATGTATATACCCAAGCTCGGTTCGCAGATTACGTCCATAAAGAACATTAATTTGCATAAATATCCACAGTTTGTAACAACGTAGAATTTATAAAAAAAAAAAAAACCCCAAAGAAGGTTTCGATCACCATAAAAACGACGATCAGACTCGAACATTAAAATTCATTCTAATTCCCAGGGAAGCCGGTTCGCCAGTCACCGCGATGGAATTCTCGCTGCGTTTTTATAAACTCTCCACGCTATCGCGCGCTTTTAACCAGCGCGCGATCGGTACACGTGGTCTCTGCCGCGGAAGAAAATCTCGCTTTTTCATCCCCCCCCCCTCACCCCCCGGAGAGTAGAAACGATTGCAAGTGAAATAAAACGAAAAGCCACGGCGTAAGAGGTAATTTCAATGCGAGATCGCCTTCAGGCTCGTCCGTGCGAAAGAAATAATGACGCAGGGTGTTTTTCAGTTGCAAAAGCGATCTCGCGATCTCGCGAGCACCTCCCGTGGTCAGCGCGTTATATCGTTTCGCGGTGACACAGGATGATATTGGCAGCGAGCGAATTCTGAATTAATTCCGATGATATTCCGGAATTTTTCGGACAGCAGATCCGTCGATTACAACGAAATCAAGGATATGCAGGATGTTTCGTAACTTGGGACCCACTTCGAGAGCTGATTGTACGACTAAAAATAATGAAAAAAATTCATATAAATATATGTCCTATCTATCTTCGTTTATGAGACATAATGAATTTTCTGTTTTAATTACTTTTACAAAAGATGCTCGAAATGACTACCTTGCATTTGAAGACAAGCTTGCACGCGTCTTGTCATTGATCTGGTTACTCTCTCTATCATTCCTGGTGTTTCTCGAATTTGTCAGAAGCCTTGCTCTATTCTATTTCGTAGTATTTCAGCATTTTCAATCGATGTTGCGTATACAATAGATTTTAAATGTCGCCACAAATGAAAATCTAATGGATTCAAATCCAGAGAACGAGCAGGCCATGCAATAGGACCTCCACGACCAATCCATTTATTTGCAAACTGTTGATTTAAAAATTTCCTAGCCATTCGGCTAAAATGCGGCGGAGCTCCATCGTGCATAAACCGCATACGAAGTCTAATATCGACTGGAACTTCCTTTAATATTTCGTGTAAACGCGTGCTCATAAAATCAACGTACTTTGTGCTTGTTAGTTTCTCGTCAAGAAAAAAAGGTCCAATTAAAAATTTATCAATTATTCCTGCCCATACGTTTAAACTAAACTAGTGTTGATGTCTTGAA